CAGGATTTTGCCCACCAACGGAAGCAGGGGATGGTGGTGGCGGTGGTCACTGCTGCACAAGGGAAGCGAGCCCCGAGCAGAGCAACACGCACCGCGAGCGCGACGCCGATGACAACAACGACGACGACGGAGATGAGGCGCGCCAACGATCCGCACCGAAGCCCAGCCGTGGGAAAGGGCCTACAGTTGGGGCGTTGACCTAAGGAACCCTACATAAGGAACGAGGCCCCTTTTTTCCATAAGTTCAACTTCGATTTCCGATCGAAAACACCAGGAAAACCTGAGGCAAGGTGTGAAACAATGAAGGAACACGGAGCCCCTCCCCAACGAGAAGGGTTCCTTCTTCAGCGCCCCGACTGTACCCTGCGAGGCGGGGTGCCCCGCACAACATCGTTGAGCGATGTTGCGGCCTCCCCCCCGAGCACAGGACCCTTTCCCCGGAGCAGCAGCCGTGCATTGCGGGTTCCTCCTCCTCCTCCTCCTCCACCTCCTCCTCCTCCTCCTCATCATCATCCTCCTCCTCCTCCCGTGCTCGTGCCCGCCTGCCCTCTTCCTTTCTCAGGGCACTCCTACTCCTCCTCCTCCTCCTCCTCCTCCTCCTCCACCTCCTCCTCCTCCTCCTCCTCCTCCTCCTCCTCCTCCTCTCCTCCTCCTGAGTCGTAGCAAACACCCTCATACCTTGCTGAGCCGCCCGGGGGGGGGGGGGGAAAAAACCCGCGGCTGGACAAAACCCGGGGCTGAACAGAGCACGCTGGCTTGTTCAGCCTCTTTGTTGTTGCGACCTCGGGTTTTTGTTCGACCTCGGGCAGGGAAGGCTCCAGTCCTGCAGTTCCGGCGTGTGGGGGCCGTACTTGCGCCCCAGCGCCGTCGAAAACGACCTGCGTTGAGGCTCCAGTCTAGGTCATGTTGCACCTTCGGGGGACCTTGTTGCCTGTCCCGTCGAGCCCCTATCCGCGTCGAACCCGTGTCGAATCCATGTCGGACTCGTCGATGCGCGTTGGATCCACGTCGAATGCGCGTCGGATCGACGCCAAATCCGCGTCGAGTCCGCATCCAGCATTCGTCGGGCACAAGGAAAGACACCGATTTGGGGGACAGACGAGGTCCCCCGAAGATGCAACGTCAAAGAGCTCCAGCCTCGGGGGCGGGGACTGGATCAAGAACGCCAGAGGGGGGGGGCGGCAGAAACCAAAGCCTGCGTGCCCTCAGCTGCTGGCTCGCACACGCGTCAAGCGCGAGCCGCACGGACGTCCGACGCCAGACGTGCGTTCGCGCCAAAGCTTGTCCCTGGTCGTTTCGTCTGCGCTGGCTGTGCTCGCCATCGCTCGGACGTCAATTTCCCGTGCATTTTCCGGTTTCGTGCGTGTTTTTTTCTCGATGGTCCAGGATGGTCCTCGATGGTTCTCGCCGAGAAAAAATGCACACGTCCGAGCGATGCCAAGTGTGTCACGGATGTAAGCCCGCTCCCAGCCTCGTCAACACGCCCTGGGGGCTCTCTGTCCGTCCCGCGGCGTTCCTTCTCCTCGCCCCACGCCCGCCTGCGCCCCTGCGCCTCAATCCGCAACGGATTCGTCCTGATCTTCACTTGACCGCTTGTTGGACCCAGCTCGCAGCAGACCAACACAAACGAGTGTAAACGCCCATTGTGTGTGTGCTGACCTTAGAAGGCTCCAGGCTACAACTTTACCAGCGGAGGCTGTCCAGGCAAACCTCCAGCGGATCACAGCCATGCTGCTACAGCAGGGAGCGCCAGGTCAAGGACGAAGGCTCGTTTGGCCCCGAAAGCGCCCAGGTGCGCGAGGAAGGCCAGAGAAGCAAACATGGAAGGACCCAGGAACCCCCCAGCCCGTTCCGACCTCGACCCGCTCCTGATCTCAGAGCCTTGACTGCAAGCATGCGTCGGCTACCCTTAGATCCGACGTTGCGAAAAATACAACGTATATCTGAGAATCATGACTCGAGCCTAAGACGCGATCTTTTCGAGCTGGATGGGTCTGTGGTGGCCCTGGGGCCGCATCCAGGCGAAAACGCCAGGGAGGAAAAACTCGCAACGCCTGGATCTCGGGAGCAACCTGCGCCGCCAGAGGATGCCCACAGCCACTGCCGCGGCGCCGCACCCCAGGACATCGAGGAGCGATGGACTTGTGGACATCTGGCCGCCCATGCGGGCGGGCAGATGCCTCCGGACCCGCCACTCTCGGCGGTGGACAAACCTCCCTTTAGTAGACCTCATCTTAGTGAAAACGGCCTGGGACCGAAACCGACGGACCTGGACCTGCAAAAATGACGGCCGCGACGCCCTCTCGCGAACCGAAAACGGCCAATTCCTTAATCGACGTGTCAGGGTAGGAGGTCTGTCCACCCCCTTTAGCAAAACGTGGTTAGTGAAAACGACCTCGGGCCCAAACCTGGCGGGCGCAAGCCTGGAAAATGACGGCCGCGGCGCCCTCTCGAGAACCGAAAACGGACAATCCACTAATCGACGCGTCAGGGTATGGTAGGTCTGTCCACCCCCGACACTCCTCGAGAGCCCAGGGCACGACTCCGGAGCGGTGGACGTGGCCGGACTCCGGCGGGGGGGGGGGGCACTGCCCCTGCCCTGCCTCTCCCATAAGGCCCCCCGGGTCCTCGCCCAGCAGCGGCGCACCACGCCGTGCGCCACGCCGGCCTCCGCCGCCTCCGCGAGCAGCTCCGGGCCCACGCGGCCGCGCACGGCGGCCTCTGCGCGCGGAGCCGCCGCGGCGCAGGCCGCTCGGGCCCCGCCCCCGCCGCCCGCCGGACCCCGCAGAGTGCTCGGACGTGGCCGCCGGGCCGCTGAGGCTCGGCGCCGCCGCCGCCCGCCGGACCCTGCAGAGTGCTTGGCCATGCAGAGTGATCGGGCATGCGGAGGCTTCGTTCCTGCTGTAGCCCTCCGCATCTTTCAGAGGCGGAGGGCCTCAGGAGGCGGGACGGAGCCCCCGTTTGTGGGGGGCCCCAGGTGCTCCCTGCTCTGCAGCGCCTGGGCCGTGGGCCTCCGCGTGCCCAGACGCAGACCGAGCCGGACTGCTTGACACCTCGGCTGGAGTTTGGATGCTTAGGGGAACAACAAGTGGCATAAACATAAAAACTCGGAGGTCCGCGCGGATCTCTCGGATCGGCGCTCGGTCCCCCCGGCGCGCCTTCCGGCGCCGCCACTGGCGCGCTCCGCGCGCCGGGGAGGGGGGTCCAGCGCCGATCCGAGAAATCCGCGCGGACCTCCGAGCTTTGATGTTCATGTCACTCTTTGCCCCCTTGATGCTCCTTTGCAGGCCTTCCTGGGAGGTCAGGGGGCCCTGGAGGCGAGGGGGCGGCGGGGATCGGGCGGGAGGAGGGGCCCGGACGGCGGAGAGGGCGGGGGGGGGGGGGAAGGCGGGGGGGAACGCCTCGGCCAGGCGGAGCTCGGCTGGGCCGAGCTCGGCAAGGGCCGAACGCGGACCAGGCCGACATCGGCCCTTGGCCGAGCTCAGCCTGGCAGAGGTCCGCTGGCCGAATTCAGCCTGGTGGCCGAATCTTCCTGGCCGGGCTCGGGTTGCCGCCGGAAGGGGGGAGAAAGCGGGGGCGAGGGGGACGACAGAGGGGGGTGGAGAAAGGGGAACGGCGGGAGGCTGGGGGGAGGCAGAAGACAGGCAGGGAACTGTGCACGTACACCAGCCCCAGGCCCTAATTAGGCCCACCCTGAGCCCAAGGTCGGCGCATACGCCTTCCTGGCTTGGCCAATGCACCGACCGATCCCGCGCCCAGGATAGGCCTGGACAGGGCCGGCGCATGTGCATTACCATGGACGCCGGTCGGAAGGAGTAGGTTCAAGCAGAAGGCAGAAAAGGCGGAGGAAGTAGATTGGGCTAAGGCCCTCCCAGAGAGGAGCAAAGCATCGGCTCTTGAGCAGGAAGGCGCTTGAGAAGTGCGTGGGTTGAGATCTGGGGGCTCAGAGATTCTTACGGAGGATGGAGGGGAGGGGAGGGGGAGGGGAAGGGAGGCGGACCGCGGCGAACCCCTGAAGCGCGGACCCCGAGCAGGGGGCACCCTGGCCAGGGCCCCCGCGCCTGGCGAGTGGCCCGTCACACGGCCGAGGCCTGCTGGGGAGACGCCGCGGAGGCCTGGCGGTGCTCGCGTGCATGCGCTCCCCAGATCCCGCGTAAGCTGATGGGGGACTCTCCTCCTCCTACTCCTCCTCCTCCTCCTCCTTCCTTCCTTCATTCCTTCCTTCCTTCCTTCCTTCCTTCATTCATTCATTCATTCATTCATTCATTCATGCCAGCGGAAACGCGCGTAAAGGCCGCGCGCCCCAAACACCCCGCGGCCCGCCAACATGCGGCCCGCTCAGACCTTGGAGGGGGGTGGAGAACCCTCCCCGGTCACGACTTCCAGAGGGGGAGGCCCCAGCTGGGGAGGATGAGGGGGGACAAGCGCAACCAGGGAGGGCAAGAAGAGAGGCACGGCACAGCCGGTCCCCCGGACAAGACTCCCAGGCGAGGGACCCCCAGCCGGGAAGGCTGGGTTGCTCGTCAGGAGACCTGCTCATCCAGGGGAAGGGGCGGAATGCACTTCCCCCAGGGCCCCGGTGCACCGCCAGACACCGAGGCACCCCTCTGGGGCCCCCCTCCTCCTCCTCCTCCTCCTCCTCCTCCTCCTCTCTCCCCTCCTCCTCCTCCCTCCTCTCCTCCTCCCTCCTCCTCCTCCTCCTCCTCCTCCTCCCTCATTCTCCTCAGTCTCCACCCCTTCTCCTCCTCCTCCCCTCCTCCTCCTCCTCCTCCTCCAACTCCTCATTTCCTCATTCCCTCATTCTCCTCAATCTCCCATTCTCACTCTTCTCCTCATTCTCATGTCCTCCTCCTCCTCCTCCTCCTCCTCCCTCCTCCTCCTCCTCCTCCTCCTCTCTCTCCTCCTCCTCCTCCCCCCTCCCCTCCCCTCCTCCTCCTCCTCCTCCTCCTCCTCCTCCTCCTCCTCCTCCTCCTCCTCCTCCTCCTCCTCCTCCTCCTCCTCCTCTGGGCCCGCCTCGGGGGGGACCAGCCTCAGGGGAGGCGGGGACGTCGAGCTGGACTCGGCGACAGGTCGCCGATAAGATCGGCCACGCGCCCCCGATACTGGAGGCCTCCTAGATGCAGTCGGAGCAGGTGTGGTCGAAGAATCGCCGATACTTCGTCGATGCACCGGCGATGCGTCGGCGATGCGTCGGCGACGTCGGCGATGCTTCGGCGTTGTCGATGTGAAGCTAATCGGGCTGTACATCGAGCCGCGTCGCCGATGCGTCGACGATGCGGCGCGATCATCCGACCCCATCTACTCGGACCCCATCTAGAAGGCCTAGAGGTACCGAGCCCGCGCGTTCTATGGGGGGCATTGGTTATCGGGCCCATGTCGGCGGTCAATGATCCATTGGGGGTCGATGCGTCCCCCCTGAGCCGTATCCCCCCCTCTAACGTTGCCCCTGGTTTTCGGATCAGAACTCAGCTCTCTGGCGGCCGTTCGGAACGATGCGGGCACCCTGGGAACGCCCTCGGCGAGGCGCAACTGCACCCCGAGGGCGGGAAACCACCGCGAGGCTACAAAAACGCACGAAAACCTAGAACCTCCCACACTGGGCCTCTCCTGGGGTGCGTTCTGACCAGGATTTCGAGGCGGAACAAGCCGTGGCTACGAGGGCGCCCCAGGATGATCAAAAACGGACAAGAAGCCGAGCCTCGAACCCAGCCAGACGCACGACGCCATGATCTTTTTCACAACTTCGGCCCCAAGAGGTCTCGGCCCATGCCCTGACACCAACTTCTCACCCTGACTACTTTTAGTTGACGGTCCCGAGGCCCGGCAAAGGCCCCAAGAGGCCGGAAAATTGAGAAAAACCTCCCGTCGTGATTAACCTCGATTCGATCCTCGAGGAGGAGGGGGGGTGCTCAGGGCAGCGGGGGCCTCGAGCAAAGCCTCCTGCAGGCGCAGCTCCTCGGCGCCAGGCCCAGGGGCGCCCGAGGACGAGCTGTGGCCTCGGCTGTCCCCGAGGGAGGGGGAGGAGGACGATGAGGAGGAGGAGGAGGAGGAGGAATCAAGGCGCCAATCCCCAACGTTTCGGCCGCCTACATCGCAACTTTAGGTCGCCAGTCTCCCATGCTCGAACCGCCACTCGATGAGCACGCAGTGTAGAGTGACATGTTCCCAAGTCCAGGCCGTTGTGGTAGGGGCTCCTTGACGTGTCGACCGCCAACGCTGCAGTACTAACACAAGCATGCATTTCACTGCCCAGGTGGAGGTGGTGGAGGTGGTGGTGGTGGTGGTGGTGGTGGTGGTGGTGGTGGTGGTGGTGGTGGTGGTGGTGGTGGTGGTGGTGGTGGTGGTGGTGGTGGTGGATGGTGGAGGTGGTGGTGGTGGTGGAGGAGGAGAACAGCAACAACAGTGAGTGTCGACCGCTGCGCACGTGTTGATCGCCAAGACCTTCGGCCTCGGCACCGTTTCAATCCAGCTCGACAGGCATCGGCACATTGGCCCGAATCGAGCTCAGGGCATAAGAACTGAGGCCCTGTGCACTGTAGGCCTTCGTGGGCCACGCGTGCTCTTTGAATGGGTCGGGCTGATGTGATGCTGGAGGGAGTTTTGGGCGAGCTGAAATTCCGTCTGCACTTGCTTGTTGTCTGTGTGTTCCTGTCTCAGACTGCGGCCCTGCTTGTAGTTTCAGCATCTAGAGTAACATAACATACAGGCCAGCCATAATTGTGCCGGCCTTACTTTCGGGTCATACCAGTTGTGGGTGTGGTGGAGGAGGACACTACGCCGGCGGTCAGTTGGCGCGTCGTAGGCGGCGCACGCTTCTTCAGCAGCAGTACGGAAAGAAACCGATTCAGTAAGATGAGTGACAGCATGTGGATTGTTAACTAGCTGCCCTCGGAGAGGGCACGAACTGCCCTCGATGAGGGTCCTTGCCATGGGAGGGTGCGGGGGTATGTAGGGCTGATGTTGGGGAGCGGTGGGAGGGGAATACCTTGCTGACGCTGGCAGATCTAACACTTTATGCCCTCTCGGGCTTCTCATCTTTTCTGTGCCTCCTCGGACCTCCCGCTCCGCTTAGTTACCCTATCAGTGCTTGCACTGAAGGGGTCCCAGCGGATATTGAACAATTCGGCTAAGGTGCCGGCCCGATTTCGGTGGGCGGCCGGGTTCCGGGGTTCCCGGCTTCCTGGCTCCGGGTTCCGAGCCGATTTCGGTGGGCGGAGGGGTTCCTTCTAACCGATCGGTCTCATCTTCTAACCGATCGGTCCCTTCATATCGATATTCTAACCGATCGGTCTCATCATATCGATGTCATTACCCACCTCTCTATCGATCTCACAATCGATCTCACTATCGATCTCACAATCGATCTCACAATCGATCTCACTATAGATCTCACGATCGACCTTAGAATCGTCCTCCCTATCGATCTCATTCAAGCGACTTCAATGTCGGTCTCACGATCGACCTTAGAATCGTCCTCACTATCGATTGCACTGTCGAGCTCACCATCGATCTTACAATCGGTCTCAATATCAAAATCACAAAATTTCAAACCATCCACTGATTGGGTTTTCCTCTGGTGTATTCTACAGCCTAAGATCCGCTCGACGCACACGGAAGAGAAGGACGAGGGACAGAAGCAGGAAAACCAGCGCCAACAGCAAGAGCCCCCACAGGAGGAGAACGAGGAGCAGGAAGAGGAGGAGGAAAAGGAGGAGGATGGGGAAGAGCAGGAGCAGGAGCAGGAGTCGGAGAAGGAGGAAGAGAAGGAGGAGGAGGAGGAGGAGGAGGAGGAGGAGGAGGAGGAGGAAGAAGAGGAGGATGAGGATGTTCTTAATCGACTGCGCACGCGCTCACGCCAAACGCCCTGCGCGTCTTTATGAGGTTGTTGCCAGTGACAGCAACTACGGAGAGGTGCAGGAAGACCGCGAAGCGCACGCACAGGAAGGAGTGTACCATCACGTGCTGGCCCCGAGGGAGGATAATGATGATGAGAAGGAGAAGGGGGAGGAGGAGGAGGAGGAGGAGGAGGAGGAGGAGGAGGAGGAGGAGGAGGAGGAGGAGGAGGACGAATGGGAAGGAGGAGGGGGAGGATGAGGAGGACGAGGAGGAGGAGGACAAGGAGGAGGAGGGAGGAGGAGGAGGAGGAGGAGGAGGAGGAAGAGGAGGAGGAGAAGGAGGAGGAGGGGGAGGAGGAGGAGAAGGAGGAGGAGGAGGAGGAGGAGGAGGAGGAGCATGAGGAGGAGAGTCCCTCCTATCCGCGCCCATGCTGCTGCTCCTTCACTTGCACGAATCCGTTGCGTGTTCCCTGTGCTCTGCATTCTGCTTGTCTGGGGAAACGTATTCCCTGCCCTGTCGAGCGAGCGAGAAGGAGGAGTAGCGTACCCATGGCGAGTCCCAGGATTCCACGACACGAATCACACGGAGCCTCAACTGCTCGCAAGGTCCTGGCGATCCTCACGAGGCCCAGCAGCAGCAGCAACAGCAGCAGCAGCAGAGGGAACAATATGACCCGCTCATTCTCATCACTTACCGGACTACTGTGAGCGACGAACGAGAACGGGTCTCACGCGAGATGGCACAGCGACCTTACGCGTTGGTTTACGCGGGCCGCCGGCGCGGAAATTGACAATGGAGACGAAGGCGCTTAGGCGCGACCTTCCGCCGGCAGCTTACGCGCCAATGTCGGTTTTGAGCAGGGACCGACCGTCCCGACATTCCTATAGTCATACCACGACATGTTCTTATAGCCCAAAAATGTTCTAAGAACAAAACAATGTTCTTAGAACATAAACCCGATGCGAGAAAACAAGGCAGACTCCGCCAGACATGCTGTAAGAAAATTTCGTAGAAACCACAAAAAGTTCTTAGAACGGTGTTTGGTAGGGCTTTAGACAAGCCGTGACGCTTCGCCACTGCTTGACGGTTTGCGTCGCTCAGGTGGTTTCCCAGACCCCCTCGCGTCGTGGACCCAACACGACGGATGGTCTTCGCTGTAGTTTGGCCTCGGGGGTATTGTCGGGCCTCGGGACCGTCAGAGACTTGAAAGCTGGTCCCTGAGGCAGGGGTCCAGACCTCTGGGGGTCCACGTCGTGGAGAAAAGCATAGCGTCAGGGCCTGGGGAGGAGGAGAAGGAGGATAAGACGAAGCCAGAATCGAGACACAATCGGACCAATATGAATCGGGAACCTCTCAGAATCGGCGGGTTTGGAGGATGCATCGGGTGCCGCGGCCGTTTCAGAGCGTTCTGGAACGCTCTGACAGCGCTTTGAAACGCTCAAGAACAAACAGCTCGTCGAGGAGGAGGAGGAGGAGGAGGAGGAGGAGGAGGGGGAGCAGGCAGGAGAGGGGAGGAGGATGTGTGAGGAGGAGGAGGATAAGGAGGAGAGGATGAGGAGGAGGAGGAGGAGGAGAGGAGGAGGAGGAGGAGGAGGAGGAGGAGGAGGGGGAGGAAGAGGAGGAGGAGGAGGCCGAGGACGAGGAGGAAGAGGCGGAGGACTCGAAGCCCGTCCGAGACAAAAGCAAAAAGCATGGGCGGGGGAGGGAAGGATCGGGGGGCGCCAGCACGGCGGGGGGCCAGGCCGGGAGGCGGGGGGGAAAGAGAGCGCGCCGTGGCTCGAGGCACGTGCGAGGACGAGGACGAGGCGGGGGGGGGCAGAGGATGCAGGGGAGGAAGGACCAACAACGACGGGAAGACAGTGGCCATGAACTCTCGGATGCTCCATGGGCCTTGGCCATGACAGCCACACGCACACACACACACACACCCTCAGCACTCACCCCTCCCTCGGGCGCTCCCGAGATGAGGGGCAGGAGGTGGAAGAGTAGAGGGGCGCTCGATTACTTCGAATCCTTCCCGGAGGTCTCCAGAGGGTCCTTGAGAGGCCTCTGTCTCCAGAGAGCTGTGCGAGGTCCCCGGAGAGGGAGGAGGTGGAGCACCCGAGGCACGAGCCGTGGCACCTGTGCACGGCTCTGCGCGGCGAAGTGCCCCCGGGGGCACCTGCCTGCCGCTGCTCCTGCCCGCAAGGGCGCTCCCTGGCTGCCAGGGGCGCGGGCGGCTGCGCCGCGAGAAGCCACGCTCCCGTGGGGCATCCCGCGCGCACGGCTTGGCAACTGCGCGTGCGGATGTCCCTGCGTGGCCGACGCACGAGGCGCCTCAGAAGGGCCGCGTGCGTCGGCCAAGCAGGGCGCCGCGCGCGCGCGACGGGGTTTCCCCGCGCCGGGCGGCACCGACGGGGCGGCCCAGAGCCTGGGCTCGTAGGCAGCTGAGCGGAAAGCACATGCGCCCTCTGGGACGCATGAGGACACGCTACAGGCCTCGGAACAAATTAGCGAACACATGCCACATTCATCCGCCAACGCCTCCCCCTCCCTCCCATGTTCAAAGTTGGCGGTGGGTCTGATGAGTTGCACCTCGACCGCAGTCTCCCCCGCGCGTGCCAACCTTGAATTTGAGGAGGGGTGTTTACTAATTGTTTCCCTCTACCGTAGCACCGTGTGCCTTCTGCTGGAGACGCACGCCCGACCGGAGCACATTGCACAAGATCTGGCAGAAGACTGACAGGCCGTTTCCCGAGAGGTACGGCCAGAGAGCGCCCGCCACGGAGCTGCACTGTTGCAAGACTTCCGAGCGGGCGCGTCGCCCTTGCGCGGCCGACGCGCACTTCCGCCACCGTGCCTTCAGTGCGTAGTGGAGCGTCGCACCGCTCATGCAACCCTGCAGCCCTCACAATGTTTGGTCTTTAGAAGCTCTGCGTGGCGACGCCCCCGTCGCCACGCGTGCCCTCTGCGTGCCTGCGGGGGCGCCGCCACGTAGAAGTACTGGAGACCGAGCACTTGAAGCGTCGCTACGCACGCCCTCTGCGTGGCTGCGACCATCTGTTAAAAACCCTGAAACAAATTAGATTCACTAAGAAAGTAGAGGGGCTGTAAGGCTCTGAGGGCCCGGACCCCCGGTTTCCAAGTTGCTCCTGGGGCTCCCAGGGAGCTCCTGGGGGGGTCCGGGAGCTCCTCGGCCGGCCTGAGGCGACATCCCGAACCCTCGAGAGCGTTGCGCGAACCTCCTCGGGTGGCCAAAGAGGGCCCTGAAGCGGTACAACTTCAAGACGGCTCATGATGGCCCCAAGACGGCCCGAGGGGACCACAAGATGCCCCAAGCGGGCCCCGAGAGCATCCCCGAAAAGGCATAAATCTTGACATTCCCGATAGAAGGCTTTTATGTTCAACATATTCGCATCTTGGAAACTCACAGCGTCCAAGACGGTCCACGACGACCCCAAGATCGCCTCAAGACGGCCCAAGAGGCCCCAAGCAGGCCCCAAGACCGCACAAGAGGCGCCAAAGACGGCCCAAGAGGACCCCAAGATGGGGGACTCGAGCTGAGATTTCGAGCCCTCCGCCCCAGGGGGGCCCCCGAGATCGCCGGCAAGCCCGCAAGAGGCCCCCAAGAGGCCCAGAATAAGCCCCAAGCGGCACCCAAACGGCTCCATGAGGCCCCATGGGGCTTCAAAACTGCCTCCAAGAGACTCCCACGGGACCCCAACAAGCATCCAAGAGGCCACTGGCACATAATCCAGGTACGGTGGCTGGATGGGCCGAAGGCCGCTGGATCCGCCGCCCCCAGGCCCTATACGGCTTGTTTTGGTTCTTTTTTCCAAAGGACTCCCCCTCGGGCTTCGGTCCAGCGCCCCGACCACCCGGAAGGCTTGCCCAGAATTGGTTGCCAACGTTTTTCCCACTCCAGATGGCTCCAAGATGGCCCAAGATGGCCTCCAAGACGGGCAAGGTGGCCCTCAAGTTCGCCCAAGATGGTCCAAGATGACCTCCAAAACGGCCCAAGAGCGTCCAAGATGCCTCAAAGCTTACCTAATAAGCCTCCAAGAAGACCCAAAACGGCCTCAAGATGACGGAAGACGGCCCAAAAGGCCGCCAAGAGGCCTCCAAGACAGCCCAAGAGACCGCAAGAGGGCCACCAGGAAGGCCCGAAGAGGGCAAAGTTATTGAACCCCACAGATTGTTCAAGGATTTTAACACTTGTTTCTTTTCGGCCTTCCGATGGCCCGAGACGGCCAAAGAGCTCTCAACGAGGCCTCCAAGATGGCCCCAGAACGGCCCAAGAAGCCCTCAAGACGCCCAAGATGGCCTCCGAGACGGCTCTGGAGCTTCCCAAGAGGGCCCAAAGTCGGCCCAGAGAGGCCCCCAAGACGGCTTCCGACGGCGTCCGGCGGGCCAGGAACGCCCCGAGACGGGCAAAGAGGTCCGCGAGAAGCCCCCAACAGGCCCCCAAGAGAGGCCCAAGGAAGCTCCCAAGATGCCTCCACGAGGCTCCCAGGAAGCTCCCAGGAGGCCCCAAGAGTGTCCCCAGAGGCTCCCACGATGCCTCCTCCTCCTACTCCTCCTCCCCCTCCCCGCCATCCTCCCGAAGGGTTTCCACATCGGCTGGGGGGAACACATGGCCCGATAGCTTGGCAGAGCTCCTGCCACACCGCTCGAGCACATGGGCGATTCCCAGAGGGCACAGGACAACTCTGACTCGCCGTAGGTGTCTTCGATAGTATGCGCATGTTCGAGTGGTGCCGACCTCCTACTGATTAACAGGGGATGTGTCGACCCCTATCCCGGGCTGCTTGGGGTTTCCGAATGGACCAGAAATTTGGGGCACAACCCTGGGATATACGATGGGGGGGGGTCCATCCTCGATAGGGGTGCGTCCGAATAGCCCCCTTGGGGTGTACCCCCAGGTTCTCCCATGTTTCCGAGCGGCCGCACTTTTCGGGCGAAGCTCGGGGATTGGGGGCGAAGCATCGCCCGCGACTGATGGATCTGTGCTGTGCAACTGGCCCCAACTCGACGCCCTGGGCCTGGCAGCGTCGTGCGGCAGGGTCCGGGGCTGGCGCTCCCTCGCTTCGCCGTTGCCTCCCCCGGGAGGCCCCCGCAGAGGGCGAGCCGGGTCGGAGCGGCGACGGAGCAGCCGCGCGCTGGAGAGCCGCGCCCCTGCCTGCTTCCGGAAGGTCTATGCCCGAGGCCTGTGCCAAATACGGTCCTCGCATTCTAGCCGCACGCGCCTATGGATGACACACCCGTTATCTATGTTTATCTCTTTATATATGTGTATGTATACATATATATGTATGTATGTACGTATGTATGTATGTATGTATGTATGTATGTATATATGTATATATGTATATATGTATGTATGTATGTATGTATGTATGTATGTATGTATGTATGTATGTATGTATGTATGTATGTATGTATGTATGTATGTATGTATGTATGTGTGTGTATGTATGTATGTATGTATGTATGTATGTATGTATGTATGTTTGTATGCATGTATGTCTGTCTGTCTGTCTGTCTGCCTGCCTGCCTGCCTGCCTGTCTGTCTGTCTGTCTGTCTGTCTGTCTGTATGTATGTATGTATGTATGTATGTATGTATGTATGTATGCGTACATGCCGACACTGTCGGTGTGGATGCGTCAGTGGACAACACGGCCTCTGCGCTCGACGCAGTACAGAGGCGGAGAAAGGGTAGATCTGTCACCGGCATGTTCCTCTTCTAGAGCAGGTGCCACATGGCACTCCAAGCCGTGCGACGAAGATCGCAACTGGTCACTCGCGGTGGCACTTGAAAGGGCGGATGGTACAGGGGAGAGGTGCGGACCACGGACGTGAGGATGTACAGGCTACACTGCAACTGATGCGCGGACATTCCGAGTAGGGGACGGGCGGGAGCATTGCACCTGGACGGATCAAGCACCCTGACCCGATCAGAGGAGACTGAGGCTGTGGCCGCGTCGGCGGCTGCCACCATGACCCAGGAGGCCGCATGGGAGGAAGGACGCCAGGGAGCTGCCCATTAGCGCAGTGGGTGGGGCAACGCCATGCGCGTGGGAGGGCCTGGGGGGGGGAGGGCGGGGCGGCGGCCAGCACGACGTGCGGCGAGGGCCGACAGAGCGTCAAGCAGGTGGCAAAGATGGTGGTGGCGGCCGACGATCGCGGCAGAGCAGCAACGCAGAACTCGCTTCGACCCGAGTCACAAGCTGCACGGCGTCAGAACGCGCTGCGCTCGGTCCGATGTGAGGGGAGAAGCAGATCGGCACCCGTGAGGCTGAAGGCTGCGTCGACCCCCTCTCTGCCGACACATCCGGCACCGTGACGCGTTTTCATGCCCCCCCTATCATCTGGACCCCTTTCCTGGGACAGACTTCTCACCCCGAATCGTCCACTGACGGCCTCAGGAGGCCGAAAATAGCGGAAACGCCCCCGTCGTGTTTACGACGCGAGGATGTCAGAGTGGCTGGTGGTTCCGTTGGCCCCCCGCTGGAGCACAATTGCAGCCGTGGCCGTGAGCATGGTAGCTCTGCTGAGCTGGATGTGGGACAGATCGATGTCCAACATGCGTGTTCAAGAACCGTGGGCGCGTGCGGCGCGAGATGATCAGGCAGATGTATTCCCGCCTGGGTGCCATACATGAGTGTGCATCAGGGCTGAACCTAAACTGTGTTTTTCGTTTTCGTTTTGTTTTCGTTTTCCCTCGCTTTTGTCTCGAATCCGTCTTTACCGCAAAACGAAGTCGAAACGAAAACGGCCCACGAAATGGCCAAAAGCATCGTTTAGGTTCCGCCCTGGTGTGCATGCAACATGTTGTTCGGCGGCGCGCCGAGGATGGAATCCCACCAGCCCTCTGGGCGTAGGTGGTCCAGGGAGGCTCATCTTCCAACCCCCTTCTTCCCCTTCGGGGAGGGGCTTATCACTGTTCCCTATCAGTATACAGTACACACCCCCTCCCCCACCTGGCCGGCGGCCACCCCGGAACCATGCCAACCCCATGGGGACCACCACCCCCGCCATCCCTGTCCCAAAAAACCATACACAACGCACTCTGCCTCCACATTTGGAGCATGCGCGGCCGCCCCGCGGCCATTGTGTATAGGTATGTTACAAGGACGGCTGGGGTGCCAGCAGATCCCACCTGCTTTCCAGGCGCAGGTGGTCGACCGACTGGTTTGACACATCAATGGCTGCTGCCTTTTCGCCTTACCGTTTCCGATGGGATTTCGAAACCTCCACATAGCTCAAAAATTGGCCAAGAAAGCTCAAAGCCGGGCCCAAGAGCCCCTATTGGTTCCCAGTGGCTGGCGCACCTGGCGCGACTGGAACACGTGGAACACTGGGCGCACGTGGAGCACGTGCCGCACCTGGCGCGCCTGGCAAGCTTGGGCCCCCAGGGTCTGGTGCATCTGGAACCCTTGGCGTCTGCGGCGTTCTTACGCGATATGCTGACTCCCAGGTGTCGCGTATGTGTTGGGAGGGCGAGTGGGAGTGAGCAAGACGGCTTGCGGGCGGGTGAGAAGCTTGACCCCTCCCCCTCCCCCCTCCCCTGGACCTGGAAGCGGGGGAGGGAGGGGCGAGGCGTTGGAGCGTCCAAGATAATCCAAGAAGGCTCCAAAAAGGCCCCTGAGAGTCCAAGATGAGCCCCAAAATGGCTCAAGATAGCGCACGATGCATCAAGGTGGCTCCCAAGATGCTCCAAAAGGCCCCAAGAACGCTCCAAGACGGCTCCAGGAGGCGTCCGAGACCTCCAAGGAGGCCCCCAGCAAGCCGACATCCTTCAAAAACCTAAGGCAAATCACTGATTTGTGCTTTCTCGCCTTTACGCTTCCGATGGCCATCCGAGGCTTCAAGATGGCTCCAAGATGGCCCAAGAGAGCCTCAGCAGAGGCTTACGAGGGTCCCACGACGGGCCCCCAGAGGCCTCGCAGCGACCCAAGAGCGCCCCAAAAGGGGTCTAGGAGGCGATTGTCGGAGGCGCCGAAAAGGCCTCCAAGAGACTCCCAAGAGACCCCCAAGATGCCCCACGAGGCTCCCCGAGGTACGCGAGAGGGCCCTCGGGGCCGCCAGTAGACCCCCAAGACGGCCGAAGAGGCCCACAAGCTCGCCATTGTCCTCCCTCCTCTCCTTCTCATTCTTCTCATTCTTCTTCTCGTCATCATCATCATCATCATCATCATCATCATCATCATCATCATCATCATCATCATCATCATCAGCACCATCATCATCATCATTACCATCATCATCATCATCATCATCATCATCATCATCATCATCATCATCATCATCATCATCATCATCATCATCATCATCATCATCATCATCATTCGCCTATTTGTCCCCCTCCCCCTCCCTCCTCCAACTCCCCCACATCCTCCTCCTCCTCCTCCTCCACTTCCTCCTCCTCCTCCTCCTCCTCCTCCTCCTCCCTCTCCCCCCCTCCCCCTCCCCCTCCCCCACATCTTCCTCCTCGTCCCTCCTCCCTCCTCCCCTTCCCCCGCATCCTCCCCCTCCTCCGATGCCACCTCCAGCTTCCCCTCTTCTGGTATGACGGCATCACCCGTAAGTTGTTTCTCTGTTTGCTTCCACACTCCCGTGATCAAAGCAATTCCTCTGAGCATCGTTGCTGGAACGCTGACTGTCAAATCCCGATAGTCCGTACTCTTAGAGTAGCTGTTCAAGGATGGGCTGGTGGGGATTCGCGACGCGTCAACAATTGAGAAGTGGGCAGGCCTTCTCGGCAACCGGCGGGGCTCCGGAGAAGGCTGTGGAAGCTTCTCAGAAGGCCGGAGGCCATCTGAGCCTTATGGGAAGGCCCGCCCCATGCCTCCCCCCCTGGGCGCGCCGAGGAGCTGCGGAGTGCAGACTCAACGGCAGGATGGTAATCAAGCTGATGAGCCGCAGCGGCTCAACACATAGGCAAACAACAGAGGGAACAGGGCAAGGAGGACGGTATGGATGCGCGTGCGAACCCCAGAGCTGAGCAAGCGTAAACGGGGAGATGGACATCAATCAAGAGTCACGCACCACGGACATACAACAACAATGTACGTACAAACGTGTATACATATAGACAGTTGTAGATGTGTGTGGGCACGGCAACATCGGCGGCATATCGAACACGCTAGCATGAGTGCACACGCGCACATACATGCTCCAATGCACGTACAATCGCGCACGCGCGCCGCCGCCATGTGCGTGCATATACGCAAGCACACGAAGTCACCCGATGCCGCTGACGGCCCAGGCCAAGCAACTGCTAACTCAGCATTGCAGTGGATGTCGCATGCAGGAGTCTGGCGTGCTCCGCCGCAAGATTTGTGGCCCGCGAGCGCTGCGAGTAGAATGAGAGGCAACTGATGCTCGCGGTGCCCTGGAGAGGGGCGCCCGGCAGGCCTAAGGGTTGAGGTTACTGCACTCACCGCCCAGTCGCCCTCCAACGCTTAACTGTTGATAAGTTCATGTGCGATGCTCTGAATATATCTGCCTCGGGCTGCGTTGCCTGGCTACTGACGCCTTGGGATGCCTTCCTCAACTTTGTGTTTGTCGCCCTTGCAGGTTTGCCGTAATGTGTTTTGCTGTCTGGGTTTGCCTTGGCCTTGCTTGCTCGCTTGCGCATGGCCTGGCCCACCTACGCATTCCTTCACATTCCTTTGGGCCTGGGTTTGTACTGTCCCATTCCATTGCCATTCATGCTATGATGGGGTTCCGGACAAATCGTATTCGACAAATCATCACCGTCATTTTCATCCTCTAAATCGTCATGATCTGCCTCCACATGGATTTCCTCCTTCGTCTCCCTCTTCTTCTGAATCGACGGGGCGACGCATTTGGCAACACGATGGGACGCCAAGATGAGGGAAAGAGAGAGAAACAGAGAGATACATATATAGAGAGAGAGAGAGAGAAAAAGAGAGAGAGAGAGAGAGAAAGAGAGAGAGAGAGAACACAAAAAAAGAGAAAGAGAGAAAGAGAGAGAGGGAATGATCGAGGAGGGAGGAGGGTGGAGGTGTGAGAAATGAGTCTGAGAGGACGGCGGGTAAGTGGAGGACGAGAACAATGAGAAAACGCATGACGCGCAATCCGTACCCTTCCTCGTCTTCCTCCTCGCGGCCACGAGCGGCTCGCCAACCCGGGTCAGCCAGAGGGGGTCTTCGCAGGATCCGCCAGGATCTGGTGCCCTGGCTGACCCCCGCCTCTTGAGCCCCGAGGGGAAGGAGGAGGAGGAGGAGGAGGAGGAGGAGGAGGAGGAGGAGGAGGAGGAGAGGGAGGAAGGGTAGAATGAGGAGGAGGAGGAGGAGGAGGAGGAGGAGGAGGAGGAGGAGGAGGGGCCCTGGCGGACCCCCGTTTGCACCGACCCCCGTCTCAAGGCTCCCGACCCCTCCCATGGGGCCGAGCGCACCCGGCCAGCCGTGGCGACGAGGGCTCCCTCGGAGGGCAACCACTCTCTGCGTGGCGTCGTCGGGGCACCTCGTCTGCCCTGCAGCGCCCTCGAATCCGCGTCGAATCCGTGTCAGAATCGTCGCATCCGCCCTGAATCCACGTCGAATCCGCGTCGTCGGGGCGCCTCGTCTGCCCCGCAGCGCCCTCTCCTCCGCCTCGGATCCGTGTCGAATCCGTGTCAGAGTCGTCGCATCCGCGCGGAATCCACGTCGAGCCCGCGTCGAATCCGCACCAAAGCCACGCCAAAGCCGCGTCGAGTCCACCTCGAGCCCGCGTCGGGCGGGAGAGAGGGCGGTAAACCTTGGGGACAGGCCAGGTCCCCGAAGAGGTCCGGGCATTGGACAAGGAACCATTGGATAAGGAATCCAGGGTCTGAAAGCCAGTGGAACACCACTTGACAGTTGAGGCTTCGCCATGGATAGCATCGACGCCCTCATCAGGTACGGAACCCTCCAACCCTCCAGGGTCTGAAGCCTCCTGGGCACATTCCTTAAATGAACGCTTCCACCGCACCGTTGTCTCCTCTGAACCCGCCCCTCCACCCTTAGAAAGCAACTCAAGCAAGCGTTTGGTCGTTCCCATGGTGCCCAATAGCGAGCACAGCGGAAGTAAAGTATCTCCCTCATATGGCGCCATCGGGCGCTGTTGGGCGCCGTGTCGGCGCTATTCGAACACTACACAACGCTACTGGGCGCGATTGGACGCCGATATTCATGCGATCCAAGACGAACGGAAACTTCAGTGACTTACTATCTAAGCGGTTTGGGGGTCATAACTTTCAGGTCTCCGGCGGCCGTTCGGGGCGATCCCGTCACCCCCGGAGCGCTCTCGGCGGCGAGGTGCAGCCGCTGGAGGGCATCCGGGGCTGGACAGCCGCCGAAGACGGACGAAAACGTTCGAAGACCTAGAATAGGGGGCCACATGCGAACCCTATCCCTACCCCTCACGATTTCTGAGGGGGCGGGGTGGGGTTCACTTCGTTCGGGAGCTCCCGAGTGGAACGAACCCCACCCTCCCCCTCAGAAGTCGTGGGGGGCAGGGGCAGGGTTCGCATTTGCCCCCCTATAGAAACCTCGAAACGTGCCCCCCCCCCCCCCCCCCCCCCCCCTGACGTTGCCCCAGTGGCTGCCCCCCCCTGACGCTGCCCCAATGGCTGCCCCCCCGCTGACGAAAACGTTCGAAGACCTAGAAGACCTCGCAACGTCCCCCTGGACGTTGCCCCAGTGGCTGCCCCCTCCCCCCCCCAGCTCGCCCCCCCGCGCGCCCGGCGGCGCGGCTCACCCCGCGGCCGCGGCCTGCTCCGCGTCCGAGGCCCTCCGCTCCGGCGGCGGGCCGGGCGCCTGCCCCGCGTGCGGCAGGCGGGGCGGGGCGGGGCGGGCGCGCGGGCGGGGCAGCCCCAGGGCTGCGGGCAGCGCTTCTGTCTCTAGCCAGAAACACACACACACACAAAAAGAAAACACACACACACAAACAAAAAACACACAACAGTGCTTTTTGTGTGTATGTTTGTTCCCACCGTGTTTTTTTGTCCCACGTGTGTGTTGTTTTTGTTTCTCAAAGTGTGTGTGTGTGCTTCTCCCACAGTATGGAGCTTCGGGCAGACCTCCCAAAGAACCCGAGGCGCACTGGACATGGGAAAACATTGGCCCCCCTGGAGGCTCGGTGTTTGACTCCGTGTCCGGTGCGCCTCGGCCTCGTGGCGCCGCTCCCCCAAAAGAGTCCAGGAGGCACTGGACATGGACACGAATCTTGCCCGCACAAGCATGGGATCGATGAGTCGGATCGGCGATCGAAAGGAATGGGATCGGCAGACATCGGCAGCCGAGTCGGGAGAAATCGAATCGGCGGAAATCGGCAGGCTCATCAGCCTCCATCTTGACAGATCGGAATCCGAATCGGTCTCTCATTGCGAATCGAATCGGAATCGGAATCCATCTGAATCGAATCGGGCGGAGCTGCCAGCCGGGAGCACGCGTTATGTTGAATCTTCGAGGGCCCTTTCCTGTCCTGTCGCCCTCCTATCCGCGCCGAATGCGTGCCGAATTCAACTGGACTCGTCTAAACCCGCGTCGAATCCACGTCGAATCCACGTCCGATCCACGCATCGAGCCCGCGTCGGGCCCAAGAGAAGGCACCAATTTTGGGGGACCGACGAGGTCCCCCGAAGATGCCACACAACACACGGTGAGCGACACCAAGGAGCGACCCGGCGGCCTCCCCAGACCCCATCGAGTCATAAGAGAGAGTCATGGCGGAAGGTGTCCTCCGCCTCCTCCTCCTCCTCCTCCTCCTCCCTATCTGCGGCCTCCAGGGGCCCTTGCAGGGCCTCGGGGCAGCCAACAAAACCACTCAGGATGAAAAACGGTCCCGGGGAAGGGTTCGAGATTTCTGGGTTTTAATGGGCCCTGGAAACGACAGGGCAGTTTTATTACCGGTTCCGTTTTGCCGTTTTTGTTACTGGTTCCGACCCCGTTTTTTTGCCGATTCCGTCGCCGTTTTTTGACCGGTTCCGGCTCGGGTTCCAATCCTGGAGCCGTTTTTGTTGCAGTTTCCGGTCGCCGTTTTCTTGCCGTTTCCATTTTCAAGGGACACTTTTTCGGAAACGGTGAGAAAACGGCCCTGCCGTTTCCGGGACCCACTAAGCTCTGGGGGGCTTGAAGATGTGTGAAGAATTCATGACGCTGGCATGGAGCACGCGTGAGAGACGGAAAGGAACGAAAGAGCATCAGAGGATCGTACCGCATCAACGATGCATCGCCGACTCATCGCCGATGCATCGGCGATGCGGCGACTCCATATACTCGGGCCTCACGTGAGCGACGAAAGGAAACGAGTCTTGCGCGAGGTGGTACAGCGACCTTACGGGGTGACTTACGCAGGCCGCCAGCGCGGCAAGCCACACTGTAAACGAGGGCACTTATGCGCAAGCTCAGCGATCTTACGACTGTAGGCGAGTGGCATCGCGACCTTACACGGTGGCTTGCGCATTTACGCGTGATCTTGCGCGGGCAGCTTGCGCGCCAGTGTCGGTGAAGACGACCCCGTGCTCTCCAGTCGCCCAAGAGTGTCCTCACATATATGAAAGGGCCCTGGGACACACAAATAAATACACACACATAAAATTATTCCTCATATTTCCAATACTTGTACGGTTTCTGTCTTCCCCCCCCCACTTCCCACATTTTCCAATATTTTCTAGGGAATCGACGATTAATTGTGTCTGTGTGTTTCTTTCCTCTCCTGAAATATAACCAGGCCGCTACGGTCAAGATGTTTTGCTCAGCGACACGCGGCGGCGGCCCGGCGGCACGCTGTGCCCTGCGGCTGAGCTGCCAGCCTGGAGCACACGTGTCCCAAACGCAGCCGGGCGATGAGGGTCAGGAACTTTTGCTCGGCGTCTCGCGGCGGCCGCCCTGGCGACACGCTCTGTGCCCTGCGAGCTGCTTCCTTGTCGCTCGGATCCGCGGGGGAAAATGCTGGGGAAAGGCTTGGGATGTTGACGCCTGGGGACCGAGAAGCGACTAGAGTGTCGCGCCGAAGCGTGGCGGGCCGAAACTGGCGGCGCGACACACTGAGGCTGAAGTCCTGACCGTAAACAGCACATCGGGCGGGGATTCTACAACTGGGTGTGCCTCGTCGGGGTCGCCGGCTGCGGGCAGGCGGCCTCGACGGCGGCGACGACGAACCGGGAATGCATGTTTAATCGTCCACTTCCCTGCGGGACGGCGCGACCCCCACGGTCATTTCATAGTCGCTTGGTCACATGCTCCCCATCCCTGTGATTGGCATCACCTTCTCTCGATGCCGATCTGAAGGGCTCCCTCAATCTCTGAGGGCACATTCATGAGATTGTCATCGCGCTTGGCTGTTCAAGCATTGGGGAATGGGATAAGCTCGAAGCTAGTAACTGGTGGACGAGGCGCGCGGGTTCCCTCTGGATCTTCGCGCGGCGGCGGCGGCGCTGGTCGAGAAATGTCTGGCTTCAGCTCGGAGAGAGGAGGCCGAAGACGCGACCGCGGGCGGGGGGGGGGGACTCCTCGCTCTCCTGCTACTCCTCCCCCTCCTGGACCCCCTCGTCCGTCCTCCTCCCCCGCCCCGACTTCCTCACCCCTCCCTCCTCTGCCTCGCCCTCTCCGCCACCTCTCCCCTCGCCCCTCCTCCTCCTACTCCTCTACGCCGCCCTCCTCCCCTTCCCAGCAGCGGCCTCATAGGGAGCTCAACCCAAGGCCCAAGTGGCAGGCTTCGCATGCGTGACGGCGCCCATTTCGGCACACCCCTCACAAGGATCGTGGTCCCACAGGGAGCTTCGCCGAAGGCTCCAGTGGCAGGCCTCGCTCGCGTGACTGCGCCCATTTCGTCACACCTCTCATGGGGATCGTGTCCCATAGGGAGTTCCACCGAAGGCTCCAGTGGCAGGGCTCGCACGCTTGACTGCGTGTATTTCGGCTGAGCCCTCACGCGTTTCGTTTCCCCCCCCTGGAGCTCCGGTGAAGCGCGCGAGACAAGGCCACGCCGACAGACGCGCAAACCAGCCGTCGCGGGCGACATCCTGATGTAACCCATTACGGCTGACTTCTGTGACCCCATGAACATCATGGCTCCTTCATTTTCACCCGCGCCCTGGGTCATGGTGCTCGCTCCCTTCCCCAGTTTCCACCTGTCTTGGGGGACTTACGCCTGCATATGGTTGGGTCCTTCGTCAGGCGGACGTTGCGTTGCTGGGTGTTCCTTAGCACTGGTTCGCTTTGATTTGCAGTGCGTTGCATGGCTTTGCGTTGCGTTGCCTTGCTCGGCATTGCTTTGCCTTGGTGTTCTTGGCACTGGCTTGCTTTGCTTGGCCTTGTCATTGCGTTGCACTGGTTGGCATTGATCTGTATGACTTCGCATTGCTAGCATTGTTTGAATTGCTTGGCATTGGGTTGGCTTCATTGGCATTGCATTGACTGCATTGCAATGCTTGTCGTGGCTTGGCATTGCTTGGAATTGCCTGGCCTTGCTGGGCATTGCTTCACTCAGGATTGCTTGGCGTTGCTTGGCTTTGCTTGGCAATTCTTGGCGCTGCTTGGCATTATTGCTAGGCCCTGTTTATCATTGCTTGGTAATTATTGGCCCTGATTGGCAATGTTTTGCGTTGCTTTGCATTACCTTGCGTTGCTTCGCTTTGCTTTGCAAAGCGTGGCATTGCTTGGCATAGCTTAGCATTGGATTGCTTTGCGCTGCTTGGCGTTTGATTGCGTTGCTTGGCATTGCTCGGCTTTGCATGGCATTGCTCTGCAATGCTCGGCAAACGGACAACAGGGCAACCCGAGCAACCAGGCAAGCGGGCACGCGGGTCAGCAAACGCCCAAACCCTGGGCCACCCGGCCACCCGAGGAAGGCTGGGCAATAGGCCGTGAATGCAGCACTGCAAGGAAGGCTTGCCCGCGCAGGCCTGGCACCCACCGATTCCTCGAAAACAGAACAACCTCTGAGCAAACCAATTGGGGAACCACCGCAAAGAAGCGGCATTCGGAGAGGAGGAAATGGAGGAGAGGACAGAGAGGTGGATTGGCGCGGCGAAAGATGCAAAGATGAAGGGGCCTGCCAACGGAAACCCGCCACACGACCCACACGAACGTCGAGCCCCGAAGGCATGTTAAAGACAAGCGGCGCGCCCACCGTCCAAATCGCGACCAGAGCCCCACCCGCATGTCTGTATTCCTCCTCCCCGTCTTCGTCGTATTACTCATCGCCCTCCTGGCTCCACCTTTTCCCTGCCACGTCCTCGTCCTCGTCATTCGCCCCGCGTTCCTTCGCACTCCCTCTGGGTCCTCTTGCTATCCGCTTTTCTGCTCGCCATGTAGGCGCGGCTGTATATGCACGCGCCTCCCAGGGTACATAAGGAATCCTCTGACAATCTTTACGTACCGTGCCATTGTATGCGACGACACGAGGGTGACGTGCGTTTTTCCTGCAATTTCGTATGACATCCAATACTGGCACTTTACATTATACAATTCCCGACGTTGACGTGTGGTCCAGGCGACACGAAGGTGGCGGGTGAACCCGACATGTTATGGGGCTCTCTGGTAAGCTCGCTCCTATACTGGCGCTTTACAATGTACACTACACGAAGGCGAGGTTCGGCGTGACACGAAGGCGACGGCTGACCCTACTAGTATGAGCGCGACTACGGCCGCTACTAGTATGAGTATGGCAAAGCACGTCCTCCTCGACACCGCATTCCTTGCGGCAAACCTGGGCCCAGGTACCCGAGAGCAAACAGCGAACACACAAGCCTGGCCGACGTCGGCGTCAAACCAATCTCGGCGAGGGTGATGAGGTGCCCGCGCGCATGCGA